TTCTGGCCACTGTCTTTTCCAAACATGTAATTTTACCACAAACACTGTCTTAGTTCTCTAGTGCTGTTATCACACAAGTGGATGACTTTAACAAACAGAAATGTATTCTCTCACAGTTAAGGTGGCTAGAAGCCCAAACTCAGGGCACTGGCTCTAGGGGAAGGCTTTCTGTCTGTGTTGACTCTGAGGAAAGGGCCTTGTCTCTTTTCAATGATTGTGGATTTGTCATCTCTTAGAGATTTTTATGTTTTGGCATAAGTCTTCTGGGTCTAGGAGGTTTCCAACTTAGAAACCCTAGGTCCTAAAGTTACATTATACTCTAGGTTCTTCTTGGTAGTCCCTCTGATCTCTGCTTGCTTGTCTAACCTCTTTTATATCTCAAAAGAAATTGACTCAAAAAAAAAAGAAAGAAACTGACTCAAGATACAATCTAATCCTATAGATTGTAGCCTGCCTGATTAATATAACTGCCACTGATTTAAGGAGTCATTATATTATGGATTAAGATCTGGGCTGCTAACTGCAAGGTAAGAAGATCAAATCGGCCAGTCCCTCCAGAGGAGAAAGATGAAGCTTCCTGCTTCCGTAAAGATGTACAGCCTTGGAAATCCTATATAGGGTGGCTATGAGTCAGAACCGATTTGACGGCACACAACCACCACTACCAACATGAAGAGAATAATTACACGATACTGAGAATCATATTCTAGCTAAGATGACACGTAATTTGGGGGGACACATTTCAATCCATTATAATATTTCAGTTTTATCTCTTCACCCAAAAAATCATTGTCTGAACAATTAAGGTATGGGAACATACCAAAAAGAAACTTCCCTCCCTACGTTTTCATGCAAAGCTCTCATTAAAAAGTATTTAAAGACTATTTATTAACAGTATGAGGTAGATATCATAAGATTCATTTGATCAAAAGAATAACAGTGACTCTGTGAAACACATTATAATATGGATGAACCTGGAGGACATTAAGCTAAGTGAAATAACCCAATCACAAAAGAATAACAACTGTATAAGAGCACTATTGTAAAAACTCTAGAAAAGGTTTTCATACTAAAAGAAACATTCTATGATGGTTACCAGAGGTGGGAGGAATGGGAGAATAATTCACTGGCTAGAGAGTAGGCATATTAACTTGTGTGATAGGGAGGGCAAAATCAAGAAGAGGTAGGTTGGCAGAAGAATGATGAAAACAGGTGAAGACACAGGAGGTCTATACAAGGGCTAAATGGGATAGAGGTAAATAATGATAATATACATAACCCTGATCAACAGTGTCTTTTTGTATATACAGAGACAGAGACACAGGCTGAATTGGGTGTAGGAGAAAGAGTGGGATATATTCTTATAGATCCCACAAATATATGAGTTTGAAAGAGGATATTTGTACATAGATAACCACAGGGAGGAAGTGGGATAACTGTTGTTAACATAAAGGGAATTGGAATCATTGAAATGAAACAAAGTATAGGATTTGTTGGATGTAAAACTGATGGTATTGTCTGTTACTCTTCACTCAATTCACAATAAAAAGTTTTAGAAATAAAAAGTTCCAGTTAATAAAGTGAGGGCTAGCTAAGCATTCTGGAACCTCTGCTTAATGGTTGGGTGAAGCCCGTTGATCTCCTCTCTCCTGTGACAAGTTTTTCTGTTCTATATCCCCAGAGCTCTCAGATGTCAGATGTGGCCAGCAAGGATCTCCATGCGCAGGCTCAAGAACAACTGCA